ATACCAGAAGGCCCCCCCCTTTTGAATATATTAATATATTCAAAAGAGATTCAAAAATAATTAATATAATTATAACTATTATTATTATTATTATTAAAAACAATATATTCTTTATTATTTGTCAATAAACTCCATTTTACTTAATTGTTTATTTTCTATAGAAATGATGCTATAAAAATACAAATTGTTTATTTAAAATTGTAATTTTCTTTTAATTATATAAAAAAAATTACATATAAAATATAGTATCATATATTTTCATGATTTTCCTTTTTTAAACATAGTTACCTACTTTATTGTTTATATATTTACATAAATAAAACAAAATAAATGTAAAATGCTTAAAAGAATGTATGAATTAATTTCAAAATTTTCTAATTTATTTTTTTTTATATTTGAGATAAGCTATAAAATGATTGTATGTAATCATTACATTATCATTATATAATTTTATTTACAAGATGATTGTACAAATCTCATAAATTATTTTAATATCTGAAAAGCTCTGAATTTTTTTAGGAAAAGATGATTTTTTCTATTATTTTCTTTTTTTTTTGTAATAAGTTAATATTTTCTTCTCTTATTACTATTTGGATTTATAAAGATAAAATTTATTTATCTTCAGTATTTCAATAATTACAAATTTTGCAGAAACAGTCAATATTTGAGTGATCTAAAATCTTTAACATGTTCTTTTCTTTTATTTGTTTCATTGATTCTTAAAGATGAATTGCAGTTTCATTACTGGCTTTCTGAAAGTATCTCATTTTGTTTTGAATTAATACTTAGATTTCGGAATGTAAGATAAAGTTTCATTTTTAATACATTAGCTTTCCAATTACAAGATGGAGTGATTCTTTTAAAATTTTTTTCTGTTATACATAAATTTTTTGTTATCAATAATTTATTTTCACAGTACTATTTTTTATATACTAAATTTTGTTTAATTCTCACAATTTGTTTAATTTAATAATTTAATTAACTTTAACAAATTTCTTCCAAATTATATTATAAAGTCAAATATATTTTAACTAGATTTGCATAATAGAGTTTTAATCTCTCTAAATATATCGCTTTTAGTAGTTTTATAGAAACTTTTTTGATTATATAATGGAATTAGATAAAAATTAAATTATTTTTCATTAATGTCAATTAAAAATGTAAGACAGTTCTCAAATAAACAAAATAACTTGTAGAAATGTTAACAACTTCAAAAACTGTTTGGATATTCTTAATTGACATTGGTAATAATTAATTATATTATAATTCAGAATTTTCTATTTTCAATAATCATTAATATAGAGAAAAAGTTGAAAAGTTAAAATATTTAAGAAATTTTTTGTATAGAGAAATAATTATTTAAATTTGTGTTAAAATTCTTCTCTTAATTTTATATTAATTTTTCTTTTTCTTTACTACTATAAATATGTCACTAATTTTTTTTTCTTTTTCAGAGATTTTTTGTTTTTAATTTGCAGAACTGAGACAAGCTCTGAAATTTTCATTGAGTTGATTTTTTTTTCTTTGTTTTGTTGAGTGTTACAGAAAACCTACAATTACTTTTCCAAACTCATCAGTTGAAAGCATCTTTTACTTTTTCAAATTAATACCCTTTTTTTTCTTAAGTTTTCTTAATCATTAGTTTTTCTCATTTGTTTTTTTTATATTCTACAGTTGTAAAGAAGTGAATATTTTTTGTATATTATAGTTTCTTCAACAGTTTCTTTAATTTTAAAAAATCCTTTAATAGTTTATATCATTCAATTTCTTCTTCAAAAGATAAAAATTTCTATAAATCTGAAGCAAATCTCTTAAATTGACTTTATCATGTTGATCTTGAAGTTTTTTGTAGTTTATTTTTCTTTTTATAACTTGTTTGCTGGTTTCTTAGTTTTTGGAATCTATTCAAGAATTATCTTTAAATAAATATTTAATTTGGCATGTTTGTTGGGTTAAAGTTGTATAATGTATACAAGAAAACAAATAATTTTATCTTTTGCCTTCAAGCAAACGTTTTAAATATCAGTTATGAATTTATTCATTATATATACATGTATATTAGGGGACTTTGCCCCTGTTCACTTCACCTACTTGCTCAAAAATTTTCTGACAATTCATTAATTCCCAATGCTGCCATTTCTATATTTTTTTTATGATGGAGAAATATGTCATAATGATTTTAAGCTAAGTGCTTTATTTATGTAGAGTAAATATATGTTATATATATATATATACATTTTGTCCTTACTATAACAAGTAAAGGAAAAATATTATAATATAATATTTCAAATTTTTAGCAAATTCAAACATTTAATTTATAAAAATAAATTTTGTAAATTGATATATTATTAAGAATTGGCTTTTAATGTAGAAGCATTATTTTAATATAACTGATTATAGAAGAAAATGAACTCCATTGATGAAAGAAAGATACAAAATAAAATATTCAAAGTATATACTAATCATATTGAATATATTTTACATATAATGTATATCTTATTATATGTATCATAGTTTAATATCAGCAAATGGATGAATAAGAATGGCTTTTGGAACAAATAGTTTTCTGGAAATTAAAGTTTTTCCATTAAAAAAATGATGTTTTAATTTTATTATTTTTGAAAATATATTCAAATTTAATTAAAATGTTTTGTTATTAATGAGATATCTTTCTTTTTAATTATATAATTAATAGATATGTATGAGGTTCTATATAATAATATAACATATAGTTGATGTATTTAACAGCTAGATTTATCAAGGGACAGTAATGCTTATTTATCAATTTATTTTTCTGCAATTTTTTACATATAATGTTAATAAATTAAGATTGAAAAATTCTATTTTATCCATAAATTTTGTGTGACTGTTTATGTGCAGTAATTAAAACAACTGAATATTGAATCTAATATAAGAAATGAGATAGCAAGCTCTCGTGTTTCTTTTGAAGTGACATTTTCATAAAAACATCAATTCTCAAACATTTTCTCAACAAAAATGTTTGAGATTTGATATTTTAAGAATTTTTTTCATGTTCAGATTATATATATGCCATTGTTGATTGCATTTAATATATTTAAGAACATTATTTTTTCCCATGATTTTAATAATTGAATTTCTTATTAATTATATAGACTGTTAGATTTCTAAAAAGTTCAACAAGAATAAATTAAAATAATGAATTTTTTAAGCACTGTGCATAACTTTAATAATAATTTTTTGAAAATATGGATTACTAAATATTAACCACTAATCTAATAGACCACTCAATAGGATTAACAGACTTTAAAAGAAGTGAAAAATAAAAGTTCTATTGAAGGATTAAAAAACAAAAGCTTTTCTAATCAAATATTCACTAAATGTTTTTTTTAAATTATTTTTTTATTATAAAGTATTTATGTTTTTTTAACTTGTATTTACAATAAAAAACTTAAAAATTAGTTCAATCAAATTAGTAAAAAATATTTTCAGTTCACATATAAATTTATTTCAGTTGTAAATATGATATTGCATGTGCTAAATACTTTAAATTAATTAATAAGATTTTTATTTTCCTTATTAGAATGAAAAAGACATGAGATAATAATAATTTCTTTTATTAAATGCATTAAAATCCTTTCAGTAAATAAATTAAACCTATAAAATATTTACTGTAATTAAATCAGAGATTGTAGCTACTTATTACTTACTAAAATTGCAGCTTATTAAAAAAATAAATAAATAAATTTTTAAATTGAATAATTTTTTTATTTAAAAATTCTTTTATTCTTTATTCTTTCTTAATACAATTGGCTATATCATAATGATAAATAATGTCTTCTCCAATATTAAAAGAAGAAACAAAGGCAAAATGCAAAAATTTTAGCATTGTTAAATTATACAGAATATTTTATTAATATATTACTTATAAATCATATTATTTAGTTACTGTAGTTTAAATAAATAAATTTTAAAAATTGGATAATGTAAAAATTTATATTTTAATTATCCAATTATTTTTATTTTTATGTTATTGACATAAAAAACAAGTTTTAAGTTATAAATAAATTTATAATTATTATTTTTATTTCTAAAAAGAATGATTTCTAAGTAAATTATAGAAGTCAGAATTTAAATTCTTAGTATTTTAAAGTTGTATTAGTTTTAGTCTCAGAACACACTATTATTTAAAAAAAAAAAAAAGAAGAAGAAGAAGAAGAATCTAACATTTCTCTACTTGAAATGTTAATAAATGTTGTTGGATTAAACAAAATTTTTTGTTTTGTTTACATGTTACATGTGTTTTGTTTATATAGTTGCTCTTATTAATCTCTTCTTTTTTAAATTTCCTCAAAAAAATATTATGAAAAACTTTAAATCTGACTTCAATAGTTTTATTTTATTAATCTTATGTAATTACATTAGGTACAAGTTTATTTTAAATTATTTAGAGATTTATCACAACCCCTTGTTACCTTAATTTTTACTGCATTATCAGTGTCAGATTCAGAACCTAAAAAAAGGGGGTTAATTAAAAAATTTTAAATATTTGAATAATTATAAATGTCTTTTATTAATCTCTTCAAAACAATTGTATGATCTGATGTTTTTAAAAATGTTTTGAAGTTTGAACAAATAAATTTTATTTTTTGTGTAGATAGAGTCTTAAACCTCTGTAGCCCTTGTGAATTCACCTTGTGCATTATGCACGTCTTTGAAAGTATTTAATAATAGATAAAATGCTTAAGCAATATATATTTTATTATTTATCTACTGATTAAATGAATAAATTTGTTAAGCTCTTGTTATTTTATTTATTTAGAAACTTATTTTTATTAATACTGCATTTGTTTCTTTAATTAATAGTCTTTCAATTGTTTAGAGATACTGTAAAGAATTCAAAAATTTCAGTAGTTGCTGTAACTTCTTTAAATGTCTTACATAGTATATTAAATAGCATAGATAAATTAGTGCTTCAGTACATATATTTTTAATTTAGAATTATTTCCAACATAATCTATTCTATTTTAATTCTTTAAATATTAATTGTTTTCTTAACTTAGTTATCAATTTAATTGACTACACGTTCATTGTAAATCTTCTTAAATATTACTCATTAAAATAAGAAAGAAATGTTATAACTTTATTTATTTTTAAAATGTATATTGTTTTGCATTAACTGAATATCATTTTACATATCATATAGTTGATGTATTTAACAGCTAGATTTATCAAGGGACAGTAATGCTTATTTATCAATTTATTTTTCTGCAATTTTTTACATATAATGTTAATAAATTAAGATTGAAAAATTCTATTTTATCCATAAATTTTGTGTGACTGTTTATGTGCAGTAATTAAAACAACTGAATATTGAATCTAATATAAGAAATGAGATAGCAAGCTCTCGTGTTTCTTTTGAAGTGACATTTTCATAAAAACATCAATTCTCAAACATTTTCTCAACAAAAATGTTTGAGATTTGATATTTTAAGAATTTTTTTCATGTTCAGATTATATATATGCCATTGTTGATTGCATTTAATATATTTAAGAACATTATTTTTTCCCATGATTTTAATAATTGAATTTCTTATTAATTATATAGACTGTTAGATTTCTAAAAAGTTCAACAAGAATAAATTAAAATAATGAATTTTTTAAGCACTGTGCATAACTTTAATAATAATTTTTTGAAAATATGGATTACTAAATATTAACCACTAATCTAATAGACCACTCAATAGGATTAACAGACTTTAAAAGAAGTGAAAAATAAAAGTTCTATTGAAGGATTAAAAAACAAAAGCTTTTCTAATCAAATATTCACTAAATGTTTTTTTTAAATTATTTTTTTATTATAAAGTATTTATGTTTTTTTAACTTGTATTTACAATAAAAAACTTAAAAATTAGTTCAATCAAATTAGTAAAAAATATTTTCAGTTCACATATAAATTTATTTCAGTTGTAAATATGATATTGCATGTGCTAAATACTTTAAATTAATTAATAAGATTTTTATTTTCCTTATTAGAATGAAAAAGACATGAGATAATAATAATTTCTTTTATTAAATGCATTAAAATCCTTTCAGTAAATAAATTAAACCTATAAAATATTTACTGTAATTAAATCAGAGATTGTAGCTACTTATTACTTACTAAAATTGCAGCTTATTAAAAAAATAAATAAATAAATTTTTAAATTGAATAATTTTTTTATTTAAAAATTCTTTTATTCTTTATTCTTTCTTAATACAATTGGCTATATCATAATGATAAATAATGTCTTCTCCAATATTAAAAGAAGAAACAANCGTATATTGAGATTAAATAGATTAGCCCAATTAAGTATGGCTATAATAAATTGGAGAGCTTATCACATACCCAATGTGATAAGCCCTCCAATTTATTATAGCCACACTTAATTGGGCTAAACAATTTAATCTCAGTTTACCTTGTGGGCTAGAAACATTATTTAATAATATATAACTTATATTTGAAAATATGATTATTCAGAAAAAATTTTATTTCGTTTGAAATGCAATGGTTCTATAGAAATAGATAAATAGCTTCTTGATAAAAAGCACTGAGTTCAGCGTTAATACTGGTTCTATTTTGTGTAAATGTTAAATCTGAAATTTTAACAAGCAGTCTTTTAACTTATATTTAATAATATACTTGTACACATATTTTAAACAAATATAAGATATTTATAAAAATGGAGATCAAAATTATAATAAAACTGAACAGATTTAGGATTTAAAAACACTTTAAGAAAGAAATTTTTTGAAGTTATGTTGGAAAATTGAACTAAAGAAGTTTCAATTTCACTTATTAGTTTTTAATATGATAAATAAACTGAAATTATTTATAAAATATACATTTTGTATTTAATTTGTTATTTAGATTAATTTTATATATTATTGAATAATTAAATATTTATAATTTTATTGTATGATTCAAAATTTTTATTTCAAATAAAAAAAAATTATATTTTTTTAATAATAATATTAATTGAAATATTAAATTATACTTTGTATTTCTTATATCAAATATGTTCTTTAATATAATTTATGCATAAATTTATTTAAACTTTCATGGAATAGGGAAAAGTAAGTGATTATATTTGAAGTGTTTTTTTTTTCATCTCCACATAAATATAATAATAAATTACATAGTATTAATAATTTATTAAATTTATTTATTTTGTTAAAGATTTATAAATAAATTTTATTTAACTGTGAATTAAAATTTCATATTTTTATATGTCAGGGTTCCTTAACTCGAGCACTTGGTCTGAAAGTTCGTCAAGAACTCGGTCGCTCTCCGAGTTTTCATTCAACTCCTCCGTTACCAAAATCGTCGGACACAAACAAAAGATTTCGCTACCAGGGTCACATTGAATCCTTAACTGTAACGCCAGTGTGAATATTAATTTCAAAGTCATTGTATTTCAAAGTCAACATTAACTGACTGTTATTGTTCAACAATTTCAACAGATAATGTTAAAGAATAGCAGCATGTTCTTTAATATTTGTATGTATGTATATGTGCATGCATGAGTATACGTGCTACAGTGAATGCACCTAGAAGAAATGAAACTTTCCAGTGCTTTGTGAATGTATATACTTTGTGAAGTCAAGCTGTACAAAATGGTCTGTGATAAGTCAATACATCTTTGATCATCTTGCATTGGTGAAGAAATTATTCTACCAAAATTCTGCTGACACCACTAGTCTGAAAATTACTATTTTAAACTGGTGCTTTTTACTTGTTTGATAATTCTCAGTATCTCAATAATACATCTTTATCATATTATCCCCAAACAAATTACTGCCAAGATGTTCTCCATAGCGTATGCCATTCAATAATTACAGGGCAATGACATATTTAAACTGTTGTTTTTTGATGATGAAGGAACGAAAGTGGACTGTTTAAACAGCATGTTCTATGCAGTTCTTGAACTATATTAATAGGCAGAAGTATTAATTATGGAGTCACAGTACCTGAAATATATTGATTCTAAAACTGAATTGTGATTTATTTAATCTGGTTTCAGACCAAACTATTTAAACCATTGTGATTGTTTTTTAATATACGTATAGCTTTGTAATTTTTATTTTAAAAGTTATCAACATTTTTATTCTCATATAAGAGAAATTGTAATTTCCTCAACATTTGTTTTACTGTTTAAAATTTTGTCTAAAAATGTTCCTAAAATGCATAATTAATGGTATTTTCTTTTTTAATACATTCCTTTTATTTCATTATTATAGATGAGTATATATAACTGCCACCNAAAAAAAAAAAAAAGGTTACGGGTGACAATAGCTTTTTCCTTGGTGTGTATTTGTGATTTTTAATCAACTATATATTTGTAAGCAAAAAAAATTTTATTGTTAAATTAAGAATAGATATTAAAAGTTTAAAGTTTCTTTTCTTTCTTGGTAATATCTATCAGGGATTTAAAATTCTTCATTGTTAACTTCCAATTATAAGTTACATAGGTTGACAGTTGTTGACTGTTTTACCCATAACTTAGTTTAAAATTATCAATGATCTTTAAATGTTTCGTTTCGTGGCCTGTTGTACAATACCAATGTTTGTGTTTCTACAAATTAAGTTACATTAAATCCTATGAAAAGCTCAATGTTTAAATGTATCTAGAATTTGTTTTAGAGCTTTATCATAGGACCTGGGATAAAATTTTGAATGTAAATAGTCTTCTACAGCTCATGTACTTATAAAAAAAATATGAGAGAGAGATATTATATATATATATAAATATATGCACATATATATATATATATAAATATATAAATAACTTCTAAATGTTTTAATCTTTGTGCATACAAGGTAAAAAAAAATAATTTATGCATTAAAAGTTAATAAAAAAAAATTGATGTATTCAGTTTGTAGTTTTATTATCAAGTGTATCATTTTAAGTTTTCTTCTTTGTATTATAAATTGCTTTTTCACTTCATTAAAATTGTTTTTTCTCACTATATAAACATTTTAATTAAAATTTTTTTAATTTATTAAACAAGAGTAAATTTTTATTTTTAAAAGAACAAAACTATTTATTACTACAGCATTTAAAAAAAATAAATATAATTTAAATATATATATATATATATAAATAAACTGTCAGTTTGTTGTGACCAATTTTGTGTGTAAGGAAGAGGAAGGAAGGAAAAAAGGAAAAAAATGATATTATTATTATTATTTAAAATACAGTATAAATATTTTAAAATCAAATTGCTGAAATAAAATGATGAATTTTGTCCAGCAATGAATAGAGTAAATAAATTTGTTGTTTTGATTATTACTTCTCATTATTATTAATCTGTATAAATTTCTTTAACCTGTTATATTTTATACAAATGATATACTCATAAGAAATAATTATGAATATATATGTCTAATTATTGAGTTCAATTTAATTGAAATATTTAATTCTTGACATAGTTTAATTAATATTCTAGGTTAGGTCCCTTAAATCTATCCAGAGTGGTTAAGTCCCTCGCCTTGCATCACTAAGGTCTGGGGTTCAAGTGAGAGGTGGGCTTGCCAATGATCCTGGTCTGGGGGCCTGGCTATAGGATGTGAGGGCCATGTACCGAAGGTTACATTATAGCATACATATAATTAATAAAATAATGTATACTAAAAAACAGTGATATAAACAAAACGGGTTGAAACCGTAACATACATATATCCAGTGTCGAAGTTATAAATGGGCTTGACCCTGGCCCAGGGTTCCAAATGTTGATGACGCAAAAATTTTCCCTATTAATGTATACATTTTTAATAACTTATTAACTGAATAACTACGCATCTTAAATAAGATCGGGTGGGCTAAGTATACCTTAATTCCGAAATTTGAAATTTTCATTAGTGAGGCAGATAAAATTATTACATTAAAAAAACCGCAATGTCTTGTAGAGGAATACTGCCTAATCTTCCACATCTGGTCACCAGAAAACATAAGTTTCAACCCCTAGATTTTTTGACAAGGTACATAAACCTTGCTCTGTGTTTATCAAAGTTGATAATGACAATTTGTCCAACATAGTCTAATTATCGGATTGACTTTTTAAATTAGTTACTCATTTTTATCACAGAAAACTCTTTTAATGATAAAGTAATTCGAATTATAATAAAATGATTTACAGCAATGGATTAGGTTTTGATGGAATAAGGCAATGCAACACATGGGCGATCTGCAAGGGGGAGTGCTTCCCGGGAGAACTTTCTATGGGAAACTCGCACCTTATTTACATGTGAGGAAAAATTCAAGCGGCCAGCCTGTTGGTCTAGCATTCTAGCGCAAATACAGATAGTTTGGTCTCCGACCGACTACCAGTATTCAGTGGTTTCATCCACTCGGCCATTGGTAAATTTAATTGTACACGAAACCTGAAACAGTGGTGCCAAACCCACTGGATCCAGGGCGCTTATAACCCTAAATGTGGTACTGACAATATAACTTACGATGCGAAGCGTTTGTGAATCCTGCCATTAAACAGAGAACATTAAAACCAGTGGATTAACGAAAACTTTAACTGTCATTTTTATAAAATCCGTAGTTGATACATAAACAATTTAAAATTTTGAGTTACCTTCATAATTATAATAAGTTCTTAGCAAATGATTCGATTGTACCCCCAATAGAAAACGTGGAATGTTGTACGGGCTATTATTATTCAGGCATCTATAGCTCAAATAATAACAGATTTATTTAAATTAATCAATGTAATTCTATATTTAGAAATTAACAAAAGTTTAGAAGGTGGAAAATTTCATAATTATCCATAATCGATACTATTAAATTAACTTAAATGAATGCCATATAAATTTGTATGTAATAATAACTTATGGTAGCAATAAATTTATATGTAATATTATCGTTTTAATGTATAAACTATTACATAATTTTATATTTTAAGTTCCTTTCACAAGATCATTGTAAAATGAACCAAGTTTACGATAAACTTCATTCGCCTATTAGGAGTTTGAGAGGCGCAAACATTCAAAATAATCACATTAACAATAAAAATAATTAGAAGCAATTCATAAAGGAATTAGTGCAAACTAAAAGCTTAAGTTGGGAACAAAATAAAGCATATCAGTTGGGTAGTATTTAATATTATTCATATATTTTGCACGAATAGAGAGTAGTGATACTAATGTCGAGTTTTCAATAGATGTATAGTACCCTCCGCCCTTTCGACATTTAAAAATATGTAAAAATACAATTAATATTATAAAATAGAATCATTCGGTACAAAAGTGGCACTATTAGTTTGGGGGTTCTTGCATATTGTGGGCCTAGGGACACCATATTTAGGAAACTTGTATTTGTAACTGAAATTTATTTAAACTTTACTTTTGTGAAAAAGTTGTAATTAAGAATCTGAGAGTGATGATAACTTTTTATATTATTAATAACCTTAAAAAATGTAAATATTGTTGTCTTTACAACAGAGAAAAACATGAAAATAAGGAAAATCTGATTGGATTGGATTAATGATTAAAGAAGATCCTGCCAGTAATCTGCACGGCTGGAAGCGGTAATATAGACTAGTCCTGCTCATTTTGAATGCTATTCGATAAAGAAATATATTATTAAACATGATAATTTATTAACAATACAATGAACATGTTAATTTTAATTTTACCTTATTCGGATTAATTAAAAATCATATTATATGAAATGAACATTTTCAGATAATACTTGAAGTTCAGTAATTGAACCTCAATATTTTATATTTCACAAACTCCTAGTAGACACCTACTGTTTGCCAAAAGTTGTTTTTCAACAGTGGTTATTGGCTTTCCCACCAAAACAGGTGTCAAGAACAGATACACCCGCACCCATGACATTCTGCCATTTTGAAAATCTATACAGCATACTCCTCTCTTATCTTACAGTTTATGTAACGAGCAATCCTGACTAACCAAGGATCCTGGTATGTCCCAGTCAAGAATTACAAGCATCTGTTTCGAGGGCCAAAGGAATTATCCGTAATTCCTCCAGATAATCCCTTGTCCGATCTATGGTTAAGGCAAAGCAATACTGTACTTGGGTGAATTTCTATGGGAAACTCTACTTACGTGTAACACCTAAATAGGTCTAATTAAAGATTATTAAAGATAAATAACTAAAATATAGATAGATACATAATCTGTAATTTAATTGTTAATTTATAAAAAAAAAATTATTTCGTTTTAATACACTTTTGGATTTTCTGGAAAGAAAAGATTTAAAAATAGATTTTTGCAATAAATATTAAAGTTACAGAAAGATTTTAGGAGCAATTTTCCGGAGAAAAAATGTCAATTTTGCACATTTGGTGAATAGAAAAATGTTTATTTCAGCACCAAGGGAAAAATGTTTGCGCTTTTATGATGGTAATTTTAACTCTCGCGAACAAGTTATATTCTTTTTTTTTCATTTTAAAATGAACTAGAAATAAAATTTGGAGAGAAACAAAGGTTTTTAAAGTGTTGCATGAAATTACCAAAAAATAAAACATGGGTTAACTTAATGCTTATACTATGTTAGATTTTCTTTTATTATCTAGAAGTATGTAGATATTAGAGAACCAGAGAAGACATTTAAAGAAGAAACTATAATGTAAAGATTTACTGAAAAAAGAACAAATATTTAATAAAATTTATTCTACTAGTAAGAAAAATTATTTATAAGAGACAAATATATAATTTATAAAAGAGAAAATAAGGAAGAAATTTAATGTTATTTAGCTTCGTCTTATATAGAGTATATGATCAATAAAATGACAGAAAAGTAATGAAAGCACGCGGCATAAAATATTAATAAGTAGTGCTTTTAAATCTAAATTGTTTCAAAGTATAATGATGTATTAAATAAAAATAATATAAATATAATTACTGCATTCAGGTCCAGATGGAGGGAAACAACAGAATATTTCGCGTATGTTCTTGACATAGAAAGACTCAAAATTCTCTCTTTAATGTAAAAAATATAATCTGAAAGTGATATAAAATTAAAGTTTCTTTAGTTAAGTAACGTAAAAAATCAATTTTTGTCTATTTTATTGACTTTATAGCTTGTGGAGAAAGCCCACTTTTGTAAATAAACCAGATCTCATCCCTCTTCCCATCTTTCTCAGGCATTAACTATACAATTAAATGTACAATAGTGAAAAATTTTAGTATAAAATCTATAAATCTATGTCTAATTTATATTATGCACTAAAATATCAATATTTAAAATTTAATTAATTAATTTCTGTATCCAATTATTGTAATATAACTTGATGATACTGTTTATCTTGTTCAGGGTTCTTAGGTATGTTAGATAAACAAGGAAATTAGCAAAATAAATTTGTAATTAAACAGTATAAAAGAATCAGTATAGAATATTTATATTACACTAATATAAATACACTAAATGTATTTACAAATTTGGAATGAATCAATATTGACTTATAAATTAAACTAATTAAAACGTTAAATTTAGAAGAATTTCATTTTTTAATTACTAAAATTCTTTTTGGAATTTGATTTAATTGATTGATTGATTAATTTAATTTGGATTTAGTTGATTGAATTGAAAATATTTTACAAGGTAACTCAGTAGGTAAGTTATTAATCGTTTGATTATAGAATGGTTCAAAAGTCAGTCAACTGTTAATCAATTTATATATATTTTTTAAGATGTTTTTATCTCGGTTAACTGACTTTAAATAATTTGATAATATTGCAGGAGTTTCGTAAAAGTTATTTTAAAAACAATGCCTAAAAAAGGCCCGCTAAGAGGAGAATAAAACGGGCCCACTGTGAATGGCCCGCTCGTTTCTCATTTGACACGACAACTTTAGTGAATAAATTAACTCTATTTATCTCTATTAATAAAAAAAAAATCAATTATATATCCCATTTTTCCAATTAAGACTTCTGAAAACATTAATTTGAATTAATTAATAGGGGAAAAAATCTTTAAAATTTCACGTATGTATCGTTTTTAAATTCCACTTACAGTTTATACTAGTTTTAAATTTTACATCATTTTACAAAAGTTTTACTTTAAAGTTTTATACAAACAAAATGAAAATTTCATTTCTCTCCTATCATACATCCGCATCACACTTACCACATCATCGCTGCATTTCACGTTTTTCATTGTATCTTTCATAAGATGTATTCAATAAAATTGAATCAAATATTTCTGTAGATTTTATAAAAACACAGAACTTTTAAATTATATAAAAAAACACGCCTCTCGATTATTAATTTTTCGAATAATCTTAAACGCTTTCGAGTTTAAAATGCAGTTTAATTGACAAATAAATTCCTAATTTAAATAATTAAATAATTAAAAAAACTTCTCTATTATTATATAAAATTAAATCTATAAAACTTAATTAAATAAATAAAATTTTTAAGACAAATATTTAATAATATTTATTAAAGTTACAGTAGAAAAACAAAGTAAATATTTTTCTTACCCAAACTTTTCTGGTCAAGAGAAATGCCGAATGAAACTTTCCTTAGACCCTGTGTTACAAATGACATATCAAACGTGATCACGTTTCTTGAATCTAAACAAAACTAAAGTGTAGCAAAGAATTCTAAGAAATATCTTAGACAAGAAGAAGAAGAAGAAGATGCGGCTGACATTCTCGATACTTTTCCAAAGTAAAAAAAAAAAACAAATTACTTCAAAAAATCAAAAAAAACTTTACGAATTTTACAATTAATATTAAATTATTCTGTAAATAAATAAGCTTTAAAGAAAAAAATTAAGTCGAGTTATTATTTATGTTTGTTTGTAGATTATAATGCATAAAGAAGAGCAGAAAGTAATGATTTTATATTTTAAAAAAATACATTTATGAGTGGGATAAATTGTTCGCTTAGAAACGATTTTATTACTCAACATATAATTTATTTTCTCTCATTTACTTAACAATTTTAAGAAAATGTTTCGTGCATTCGAAATCGATTCTCTTCTTTTATTCGTTAAACTATGGAAAAAAAGGAACGTCTGTCTGTCTATCGATTCGTTTCTTATTTACATAAAATGCATTAATAGTTTAGCAAATTTATGTTTTCTTTTTTCGTGCAGCATCCGTGTCCTTACATCAAATATGCATCGAAGATTTTTATGATATACAAATAATGATACCATGGTGACGTAATTTTAGTAAAGAGACATCATTTCCCTTTATTTTATTAATATAAAATTAATGGTAAAACACCTTTTGTTTTTTTTAATATAAGATTTTATTTTCGTACAATGATACATGACATAAAGCAACAAGCTTAAACTTTTTATATAACCAACTTCAATGTAAACATTTATTATTTATTTATTAATAAATTGCACATGAAAAATCACAGACAAAGCATTCGAATTATCATTATAGGATCTTTTTTTTTTATCACAGTTCAAGCGTATAAAATAAAATAATAAATAATATGGTGTAAAATAATGCCGAGCAATGTCTTCGATCGTGTTTCTTTTAAGAAACTCGATTGAATGGACGGATTATTTTCAAAATGGCACAATAAAAATGAAGATTTTTTAGTGTTTCTTTCGAAATTTAACTTGAAAAACGTTCAAGTTTACAAGAAACAACTATTCTATCGTTGATCTGTTAACACGTAATTAACAGTTCACGTAGATTTATAGATGATTTTTGTATCTTAGTTAACTTTCTCTATAAGCGAGATTATAGAAAAGTTAGCTAAATAACTTAATAAATTACATATAACCGAAATGGAAGGATTGTTTTAATAATATTCACATATAAAACATGGAAAAATATTAAGTTATTTTACATGTGTAAGCACTTGTGTATTGAATGAAGGACGGAAAATTCGGACGGAATATTTAAACATTTAATGAAATTAATATTTTAAAATATGATAAACGAGTCACAGATTATGGTATCTATGAATTTATGGATCGGATTTATATTTACAATATGCTCTTTCAATTCCAGAATTGAATAGAAGATCCTGTATGTTGAAGAGCCATTGTTTTGGATAAGGTTAACACCAGCTGTTGTCTTCTATTTTTAATAATTAACGCATAGAAGATTCAGCGTAAATGTTGATAAACGAATCAAACCATTATCTGTACGTTTTAGACAGATTTGGTAGTCGTTTATTTCACTAACAACGAGTTAAATCTTTGCTTATTCCGGTTACAATGGTTTGTAACTTATAAGCCCGAATGTTAAGGCTTCCGTAAGAGCCGCATCGATGATGCATTTTGGAGAATTTTCCTTCTCCAGGAAGCAAAGCAGAATTTTATTTTCAATAGAAATTCTTCTATTCAATTCTACTGGAAATCGGACGGAATAAAAACTGGCTCTCGACGTTGTCTTCACGAAAACGTAGCCATTTTGGTTCATAATCTTACCACCAACTCCGAAAGCATTTGAGAATAATTCTGCTCTACGTTAAGAGCTGGTAACGTCACAGATTTGTCGCCATCCCTGATCGACACCAGAGTAAGGGTCTGCGTGGAATTCTTATTCCCTTCTCTATCCAAATTTAGAAGTGGTAAGATTCCTTCGGTAGCCGTACTAACCAAGCACGGATCTTCTCCTCTTAAAGTTCTTTGATTTAACGTGGACGGAATTTTTTTAGGTCTAGACGAAAGTGTTTGTTAGTGAGTCGAAGTAAATTTACATCTAAAATATTAATGTTATTGGCTCTTACCTTCCTCGTCTGACTACCGGCGCCATTTGTTTATCTTTTTCGTTGATTCCATCGAAAAGTTTATGTAAAAGATCAGTGTTAGACACTCGAATGATCCTCGAACCTTCTGATCTTGTGCTAGTTGCACTTCCTTTTTCTCTTTCTTCCGGAGGAGTCACCGGTCGAACTTCTATATAAATTTACGAAATTTTATTTAAATAAATTCTGTACAGTACTACTTCATTTTATAATAAATTTTAAGTAATTTATAATTAACGTTTCATTTCGTATTATCCTCCCGAAGAACCGCATAACCGTGCTACAACCATTTCATGAAGAAAGTAAATCATAGCGGCATAATTTTCACTTAAAATCCTCAATTTTACACAAAAATCGATGGCAGTGAAGTTGATTAAATTATTTATTCTTTCAACCGTTTAATATTTCAAATTATAGCACAATATTCATAGAGTAAGACTCAATCGATTCGGACATTATGGTCACACAAATAGATCAGTGTAATAACTAAAAAAACTGTATAATATACGACTCTATTTAACGAAATTGGAAGAGAAAATGAAGAGGAAAAAATGTAAAAATATACAGAAAATATATATTTATAGTATTTATTGTTTTAAAATGTAAATTTTTGCCGCATTGTGGACTTAAAATTATAGCAATTAAACTGTAGAGCGCACATTAGCAAGACTTTTAAAAATCTGTAAAATTTCAAAATTCGTCTCTAATTTAATATTTAGAAGAAAGTTTAATGAAATTAAATTTTAATCACTTTTATAACTTTATTACTTATTAAATTATATTAATTTCTCGAATGATAACTAAGCTTGTAGGAAATTATCATGCAGTCAACAGTAGGACTTCAGAACGACCAAACCAGAAAAAAGTTTTATGAATTAGTAAAAATATATACAATAATCGATTAATTTATCGATTAGCTCGTTGCTTCTTTGTTATTTTTTTAGGAAAATCGCAATCGTTCTGCCATTTTCTAGTTTTTCATATAAAAAAAAGGCAATTTTCTAAGAGTTAACAGTAAGACATGGATCCATTGAGACTGTTCGATAAGAGACTAAATCCATTTATTTATTTTACCTTTCTCACTTAATATCGCTTAAGGAAATGATTTTCGAATCGATCTTTCTATCGGTTATTTTCAAACAAGTCTACGGGAACGAACCAATTGCGGTGGATGTAACAACAACACGCGACAGTTGACATTTAAATTATACCAAATATCATCCATCTATACGCGGAACAAACAAACTAACTTGTTTATCGCTTCTTGCGTTGTTTCGTCCAGTTTATTTATAAACACACGATTAAATTACGTCAACGATTATATAAAAATTTAATTTAAAAAATACACAAGAAAGAATTAAACATACTGGTGACATCGTCGGCCGTGTCGTGTTTAAAAAGTGGCGGTAGCATAGGAACCACAATGGCCGGTGATACGTTGCTTGCATTGTTGGGTTGTTGCCAAAATGACTGTGGAAGAGCCCTTAGTTTCATAGGCAGAGGTTCTGAAAGAAAACAAAAGAGAATAAATTATAAATGACGAAATCATACCAGAGCATTACGATTCGCAGTTAATTTTAAGTGCTGATGTTTATCACGAGCTGATGAAATTAATTAAGAAGCGTAGTGGAATGGGTATTTGGCGTCTACATTTATTTGGTCGTTTATTATTTTTTCAATGAAAAATGAAATAAACACGATACACCATTGAACAAAATATCACGCGAGTTATTTATAGAAAAGAATTTCATGTTGCGCTTTCAAAAACAATATTCTCTTAGTCGATAATTCATTTAAAATACATCGAAATAAGTAATTCTTGATTTATTTTAGTTATTTTTAACCGAAAGAATTAAATAATTACGTCCGTTTTGGAGAAGAATTAAGTTAATTTTACCATTTTTTTAATCTTTAAAATAAATGTAAAAGTGTTTAAAATAATGGGAAAAAATTGTTAATCGTACATCGTTAACCCACTTTTCAGTACAGAANGTGGTAAGATTCCTTCGGTAGCCGTACTAACCAAGCACGGATCTTCTCCTCTTAAAGTTCTTTGATTTAACGTGGACGGAATTTTTTTAGGTCTAGACGAAAGTGTTTGTTAGTGAGTCGAAGTAAATTTACATCTAAAATATTAATGTTATTGGCTCTTACCTTCCTCGTCTGACTACCGGCGCCATTTGTTTATCTTTTTCGTTGATTCCATCGAAAAGTTTATGTAAAAGATCAGTGTTAGACACTCGAATGATCCTCGAACCTTCTGATCTTGTGCTAGTTGCACTTCCTTTTTCTCTTTCTTCCGGAGGAGTCACCGGTCGAACTTCTATATAAATTTACGAAATTTTATTTAAAATTGTAGACCGGTCTTCCTTCTGTTGTATGTCTGTCTGTCCTTACTTAATCCCAAGAACAGTGTTAAATAAATAAAAATCGAGACCAGATAAGGAAAGATTAGGGGCAGGAGAACACGATTAACTATATTCTAAATGACTTTAAACCAAAATTTCCCGCATGATATTTGATGACCGGCATGATGATGACCGGCATGATATTTTTGTTATCAGGAAAAGTATGATGTACAGGGGAAAGAAATTAGTAATTTGAGATGGAGAGCGTATATTTTAAATTATTAATAAATTAATTAAAAATATGATTAGAAATTGCAACCATGTTGTTATATTTTATAGTTTTATAAACCTATTTCTCCGTCTCCATTTCATAATTTTATTTGCACCGTTTCATTCTCTAAACGGATTAACTAATCTGTTTAAGAGATTGTTATGTTGCTGTTTCTTATTTAATCTTCCTCCTGTTCAAATAATCTTTCGTGTGTATTGTCTACTTTTATTATCTTATTCAACGTTTACTTAATATAATTAAACGTGGTTATTCATTCATAGCAACGTATCCGCAAGAAATAAACTAATTTCCTAAAGAAAACAGCTATTATTCATTCCTTTTCTACTAATTACTCTATTTATTTTTCCTATATTAAATTGAAGAGAAACTTCAGATAAATATATAATTTTGCTTCATTTTAATGTACGAAAATGTTTTCTAAATTGAAGAGAAATTACAGATTTTTGTACCCTTAAATATTCGCTTCGTTACACCTGGTATTAATAGAATAAAAGCGATCAATTAAGCGTACATTCTGACACGAAAATATTTGATTTTTGTAGTAAATATAACTGACTCAAAAGTCAGGTAACCGTGATTATTTTGCAAGCTTTACACCATATATAATACTCACCCCCATTGATGTATAGAATATTTAAGGGATAAGTGTTTATTGTATTCGACTGTAGACTACATAAAGACCATTTGGGAATTTATTAGCCTACGTGTGATCGATATTTTGACGTTATTTTATTGAAAAAAAAATTTAAAGTTTTATATGCCGTAAAATACTATAAAGTATTTAAATGAAGTTAAAAATTCGGTCTTTATTATGATTTATAAACTACAAATTCTTTGTATTAAATACAGGGTGGCCCAAAAGTCGGGTTATATATATTTTAAATATAATTTTTAGGTAGCTTTCAAAAGCACTTAGTTCAATATAGTTGTATATGTATAAGTTTTATTATTATTTTTTATTGCAGACATAAACTCGAAGGTTTAAAAATCAATTTTTATGCTTTCTAGGAAATTTACTTGTGCCACTGACTGAAATAATATGATCTAAAAATGCTATATAATATCTATGTTACGGTACTTTATTCTCGATTTACTAAAATATTCGATAGAAAATATATATATATATATATATGGACGGAATTAATTTTCTATAGATTATTTTCGACGAAAATGAACTGTCAGACAGAACAGACATACTCGTGATCGTTGACCATAACTTTTATTAATTTATAACTGTATGCTACCGTATATAAAATTCCGATAAAATGAAAATGTGAACGAACTTGTTAAATTTAAGAGGATGCCAAAAGAATCAATTTATCTCCGTCTTTTCTAGAGGATAATCCTAATATAATCACGGCAACGAACAGACACGCGATTTGATAGATAACTTCAACTATTCATACACTATGTTTAAACTATTTGAATTATTAACGTTTCTTCATTAGAATTTAACAGTCGGAAACAAGTTTAGTGTAATAAATTTAAAGATATAACATCCTGATTAAAGAAAAGATTCTAATTATACACGATTTATTCTATTTTTTTCTGAAATTTATTTAGTGTTAGAACATTTTCAAGAGGATAGTAATAAAATTTTTCAACTGATATAGTATTTTTACATTAATGTAGTTTAAAATATCCGTTAATCTCACATAATATATTACAAACACATTATCGTGTAGCATTCTGTAAATCCATTTTGTCCTTATGTCAAAGTGTTAAGCAGTGAAGCCATTATAAAGTAGTTAATCATCCGGTTAAAGTGGCAAGCATAACGAATCTAGTCTTTTATAGTTGCCATAACGACAGTATTTCATAGTCAAAAGTTCTTTACGATATTAGGTGACAACGTTCTGACATTCAGACGTGACGGATACGAGAATTTCAATAATGTCTTTGACCTCCATCATGTAACCATTGAGGAAGCGATAATGACCTTTATTATGCGTGAGTAGAAAACACCCGAGTGAATAATTTCTATGAATTTTGTACTTAAGATTATTATTATTATTATTACGGGTTTTTTTTTCTAATTTAAATTTAACTTTCTAATTATTCTAGAGTAGAAAGTTTTGTACAATTATTTCTCTTGCTTTTACGTAATAAAGCTTATGTAATCCAATTATTTTCGCATCAAAATAAAGAAAAAAGAAATAATGATTTCTATATAAAGTATAGAAATAGTTCAAGTAACTTCAATAATTATTGAAGTTACAATCAACATTGTTACAGAACTTTTAAACGCCTTGTAATTAGAGAAGAATTTGTGGTTAACATCTTTAAAAATACACAATAAAACTACAGAGAAAAGTTTAAATATTCATCTTAAATCACTGGCAAAATAAACTTTGAATTAAAATTGATCATCATTGCTATAAGTTTATAGCAATTTTGTGAAAAATCCGCAACGATTCACAATTTAAGAAAATATAGGCCTATATACCTTTAAATCTATTAAATAAATTTTAATTTTTTTATCTTTTTTTATGAATCATTTACAAAATAAACTGGAGAAGTAACTTATAAATCGAGCCATTGATTGAATATGATCCTTTAAATAAGGATCGAGAGAAGTCTGAGAGATCGATGAATATCTTTTTCTTTCAATCATTAATTATAAGAGAGAAAATGAAAATCGATTTTGTTAGAATCGCTATCAAACATAAACTCATTCGACTGCGTGAGTCACGTCACGCTTCTTCAGCTGCATCTTTAAGGAAAAGGAAAAAAAAGGAGAGCTTAATTTATTGATAATACTAGAGTTACAAAGTTAGAACAAACAGCTTTAACTGATAAAGAAGACAAAGATTGATAGAGTCGAATGCTTATAAGAAGGATAAGTGATTGATTCTTCGATTTTTATAAAAATTTTTGCTTATAAAAATTAATATACTTACTTAAAACACATTATTGTAATCAAATTATCAATTAATTTCCATTAAATTTAACGTGGTTTCATTATATAACGCGTAGATAATTATAACAATTTTCATAATTTTTCTAGCTAATTAGATCATAATTTAAAGCAAATTATTGTTTTAGTTATAGAAAGATGTAAACAATCATTATTATAAATTCTTATTTATTTTTCTTCTCCTGTTTTTCTTAAAACTTAATCAAATTCAGACGTAGAAAAGGATCACATTAGACAAGAAGACAGCCATAAAAGAAAAGAGTCTTCGTGTTTTAACCTTGATTGTTTTCAAGGATATCAATTGAGTCAATATTATTCTATCGATTTACATTTTGGCGATCTTGAGAGAACTGTTTAGAATTCAGAGCACGGTCAACTTTAACAGTCACGCAGAGGTCAATATTCTGACATTGTTCGAATGGCAACTACCTAGCAACTGTTTCTATGACTTATTTAAAACATGATGGAAGAATAAAAACCTAATTTCCAATAATTACAATCGACAGATTCTGTAAATCATCCCATACCTGATAAGAGGATAATTGATGATGAAGGTTTTTCCCTTTTAAAAACTGAATTTATCTCATCTTTCTCCTTTGATGAATAGCATCTCTATCATCGGATCCATACGCAATTCGTATCGATATACTAAAATAATTTATGATTATATTTAACTTAATTATGATGAAATTCTTTCGTTTTTAAGCAATTTTATGCTTATTTATTTATTATTTTTTTAAATATTGTATTGTAAAATCTTCCCTTCTGCAAGGAATGATTACATGTCAGTTGATGCGCTCTTATCGATTGCTTAAAATACTTTTAATTTAAATAATGGCAAAGACCTAGACCTAAATAATTAGTAAACTAGGTCAAAAGTTGATGATGATGATACTTTAAATGCGAAAAATATCTTAAATTAATTTTTAATTATATAAATTTTTTAAAAGAGTTTATAATAATTAACTTATTAAAGACTTTCCATTAAAAATAAATAAAAATCTGTTTCTTTCTAATTAAATAAATTATTAATTGCTTCGATAAAGGAAATTATTTTAGAGTAAAAACGGATTTATTCCAGTTACAATTTTTGTTTTCTTCTTAAAAATTCTCTTCCTTAATTATTTTAAGCTTTTAAATAATTATTAAATTATTTAAATGTATTTAATTATGTATACATTTTTTTAAGATTTAAAATATTAATTTAATTATGTTAATTGAGTAATATTTTATGATAATCTTTAGACCCAAATAAAGTAATGAAATGCAAAATATTTTTTATTTCTTTAACTTTGTCCATCATCATCATCATTTGAAATTATTTAATTGAAAAATGATCAAAATATGAATTTTATGATAAATAAAACCTGTTGAATTTGTATAGTATAATGATCCATCATATAAACATTAATAATAATAATTATCATTAACTTTATCATCATCATGAATAATTGTAATTTAATCTATTACATATCATAATTATAATTTTTTTTCTTTGGTTTATATAAGAAAAATGACAAGAAGTTTACTTTTTACTTTTAATTTTTTATCAGGTCCCATTGTGATCTATGGAAGAAAAATGATAAAAGAGTTATCGATTTTCTTCAAAGAATTATCGATTGGAACAAACAAAAACCCATTCATAAATTGTATGAAAGCCTACTGGTTTTAGATGCATTAAATGCCATAAAAAAAGGTGAGTTTTAATGATTTTCTTCTATGGGATACACGATAAAAACACTTGTCGTGTCCAGTTATAATCCGTCCACGTGTGACAACACGATCGATCGGATGGAAAAATAAATTTATTTATTTGTTTTTAAATTAATTTAAATTAAAACAATTTTTTTATAACGAAGTAAAATTCTATTGAAGTTGAATTTACTAAGAAAAATTTTGTATTATTATCTAGGAAATTTAGTTTATTTTCGTTGAACATGCGCCAAGAAACGTGGCTCATTGATTGCATTTTTCAGATTTGAAAGAGCCGAGTAAAAATAATGAAAACAAAAACTAACCTTTTCTCTGTTTACTCTTATGAGTTTGGCCTTTTTCTTGAAGACAGCTCATATCGTGTATGCTAATAATACTGTTTTTCTTCTTCTTGCAAGAACTTTGTCCTTGAGTTTGGATCGCTTCTTTACCATCCTTCTGACTTTCGTAACTTCCTCTTCTACTTTGAGGTGGTTTAACGCGAACCGAATGACCGTGGTTCTCGAACCCCGGGGTCCTAACGTAAACTGGACCACTGGCAGTGCTGCTACCACTAGGGGAACCCACATCGTCGTAATCCACTAATTTCGAGCCATCTTTACCCCGGGCCGATGAAGAACCAGATGAAAAATCTTCCTCAACTTCGCTATCAACTGATTTTGGCGAAGACGGGACGAATGGTTTCCGTTTGCCACTCATTTATATCAATTTTTTTTTTAATCCCCTTGAACGTCACATGGTTTCAGTTAATGTAAAATATGCTCTTGCCTTATTGAGAAACACTTGTCTATTTTCCGGTAATATAATGTTGATATCTCCACTACAATACTGAGTCATGTGCTACTGTTTTCGATTCCGATTGGTCGACAATGACGACACTGTCCTTAATTGATTTCTAACTAGTTGCTATGGTTACGATACATATATATATATATATATAAAGAGACATTTGCAATCTAATGTTTGACTATGTAGTTAGTCATTTGGCCTTCACGTTGATGGTTTCTCTTAACATTTTCTTACGTTACTCCGTTACGGCAGTTTCTGTAAACGAATTATCCACGATGTAGATTTGATCCCGATACATTTGAGACGTTGATCGATGTTTTAATGATTGATTGAATTGATCGACACATTGCAACAACCTGTACGATGATCTCGGATCAAATATTGAATGGCACTCGATATAGATCCTCGCTATTCTATTGAAATTTTCCTAAAAATGATGCTTTATTTCGTTAGAACTCGATATAAATACACTTCATTAGTTTTATTTTAGTAAAAACTTTAATAAAACTTGAATTGAAATTAATTTATATTTAATAAAGAACTTAAAAATTTACCCGATAAAAGTAATTTTAAAAAAAAGTAATAAATAATAACTGTTTATGTATAATCTGAAAAAATGTATCCATAAATAATTTATTATTATTTAAAATGGATTTAAGTAGTTTGTTTTTCGAAATTTTATTCTGTAAACGTTGTTTAAAATGAAAACTTTCGAATAAAAATAATCGTTATTCGCCTTTTCTACGTTTATACAGAAATTCAATAAAAATATTTATTTATAGCGCCGTATTGTTATACAAGGCTATAACTTAAATTCAATATCAAAGAAAAATATAAATATGTACACTCTCTACTGGACAACCTCCATATTCATTGACTTAATACATTAATAATTTCTTCATGTTAACAAACACAGAGGAAAAATAACACCTCAACGGAATGAATTCTGCATTATATATTACAAAATTATGCGAAATTTACCAAGAAAACACTTTATAAATAACATGTAAACGTGTAAATTTTATTCTGTAGAAACAAAAAAAAAATCTACAGGGTGGCCCAAAATTCAGTTTATCGAAGAGGACGTGATTGAATCTAGATTTTGGGAAGTATACAAAGCCGGTTAAACCTCTTTTAACCGAATTTTTAGCCATAAATCTTGTATTTTGTGTGCATACAAAATGGAAGTAATGATTAAGGATATTCTCTAAATTTTTTTTTCTCTCCTGAATAAGTAAAAATAGTAGATTTATAACGTGCATAGATCATTTTATAAACGATTAGTTTTCTCATTAAAAATCATGGAAGAACTTGATCTGAATTAGATGACTTTTTTTACATGATTTTTAATGCGATAACTAATCATATGCAGATAACTAGAGAGATTCGTAAATGAGATAAACGTATATAAAGTTATTATAAATGAGATGAAGAGTAAAAACTTTCTAAAAAAGTATTTATAATTATGATGATGATGATGATATTTCTTGATAAAGTTTATAAAGTAAAATGAACGTTGAGAATAATAATAATAATAATAAAGAAATTGTAAATTAAAATATTTATTTATTTAAATTTGTAACTCCCCAAGTAATCTAATAACAAAGAATAAATAAATAAATAAAATATAAGCAATAAAAGGAGGGATGGAAGTCCGAAAAGTTCGAGGGAAGACGATTTAAATTTAAATTTAATAAAATATTGTATCATCGGATAACTGACTTTTGAACCACTTCGTATATATATTTATTTTACTTTAAAAAAAATTAAAATTAAATTTCTTTATTGTGATTTAACGGCATTCAGAATTTATTTAAAGAAAGAAAAAAACAACGAATTAGACGTATTGCATGTTTGCAGATCTCAAGATTTCTCCAACTTTAGCTTTGTAAACGGGATCCGTTTCTGTTCTATTAGCCAGTTTAATAAACTGAGATAACGATTGTCTGACTTTCATTATCTCAGAATCTATTAATGACTTCATGTGAATTGTCTGCTTTAATTGTTGTGCCAATTGCTGTATATGTTTATTGACTTTGTCGGCTTTCATCTCCTCCATTTTAATATATTTTTCGTATTCTTCTCTTCGATTTTTTACTTCTGATTTCGTGTTGTTCTCTTCTTCCATTTTGACTTGTTTGACGGTTTCGTCTATATCTTTCTGCAATACATTCTGAAGCTTATTTAAAGATTTTTGTTTATCGTTGTAAGAATTGTGATTTATCGCATCTAATCTATCTTCGAACTCTCTAAAAAGTTTTTGTAATTTAAATTTGTAAAAATTAATTTAAACTGATTAAATCGCGTATTTTATATTTACCTTTTCATTTTTCTGATATTCTCTTCGCCTATCTTCCTTTCTTTTTCTTGGGCTTGTTGAATGGCTGTTTTTAAATGATCTCGAAAGTGTTCTTGAGCTTCTTCTAAGGCTTTAGATAAACATTTTTCACCTCGAATTCTTTCACTTTCTAATTTAGGTTGAAATTCTTCTTTTAATTTATCCTCAAGTTTAGCTATTTTTTTCTGTTTAATGATTGATATTAAAAACGAGCAATTATTTATTGTGCCGGGCTACAATTTTTAATCATATTTTTTATTTATTTAATTTAAAATATATGCTCTCCACCTCAAATTAGTATTATAGTGTTTTGTCCGGTACAGTACATCATACTTTCCCGTTAGGAATTGAGTCGTGCCGGTCATCCATAAAACACCGTTACATAAGATACGGAAAGCTTAGGAACAGGAGGACCGATTAATTATATACAAATTTCCGGTATAAACCGGAAATTATGTGATTTTAATTCAAAAATTGCCCCAGAACGGAAACGTACATGACCGGCACGACTCCGTTGTTATCAGGAAAAGTATGATTTACAGGGGCAAGACATTAGTAATTTGAGATCGGGAGCGTATATTTTAAAATTAAATAAATTAAAAATATAATTATAAATTGCATCCCGACATTGTTACGACGTCACAATAATTTTTGCTGGTGAATAAAACTTCTTACATCGGACTCACCTGCTGATTCATTTCGTGTTTATTTTGCAATTCTTGGAGATACTTTTTCAATTCGACAGCAGACTTTTTCAAAGCATCTTGAATCGCTTTCTTCTTAAATTCTTCGGGATCTTGTAATTCATTTGTTATCATCTCTGCTATCAATTTCTGGCATTCTTCCTTTAACACGTTAAAAGTCTCCTCGTGAATTTTCTTTCCTAAATCTATTAAAATAAACGCCACAAAAAGATTTAAAAAAACGAAGCAAAAGATCTGATAATTCGTTTATTTAAATAAATACATTAACATTAAATTTACTTTTAAATCTTTCAGCAAATCCCAGCTTACTGATCTTTTCTAAAATATTTTGTTGTTCGTCAATGTTTTCTTGTTTTAAAATACTAGTTTTAATCTTGAGAGCCTGATTTAGATCATTTAAAACAATTATATAAATTTTAATTTACATTAAATTAATTAAGAACTATTAACTTATTTGAAATTCTTACCAGAAATTTTGAAGAATCATTCGTCGAATTATTTATAATTTCATTACCTAATAAAGAAAATATATGTATAAAATAAAAATTTTAAGCTTATAAATAAAAAAATAAATAAATAATTCAAAATAATTAAATTAACCTATATCTTCTGCCATATTTTAAATGTTATTGAGTTGTTTTTGGAGGAAAATCTGAACCTTAAAAGTCCTAAATGTACTTAATTGGCTCCAATTGTACAGACTTTTAAGATGTGAAGTAACAATTAAGAATTTTTTAATAATATTTTCTAAATTAATTATTATGTAATTTTATATTTATTACTATTATTTAAATTCTATAAATACTATAAAATTAATTTTAAGGCATAAGAACCTATCCTAAATTGCTGAAAAAATAAGGATTAAATAATCAATCTCCTGTTAGGACCTTCGACATCTTTATGATTGATACTCCTCAATTACTGTTAATATTATTATTTTATTCTTCTCAGATCTATATTTTCATACAATTGAATATCTTTACATTAGTATGACTATAATCGAATTTCATACTGTACCATTCAATGAGTTTAAATATCTTCATACTGTTTCATCGAAAAATTATATACAGTATGAAATCATGTCATGAAGATACTTATTTTCAACATTGTTCTTGAACATATATTACGATACAACACGAAAGTTTGTAATTTACAAGTTTTAGAAGCATTTCAATAATTTATATACACCATCATGTAACATACAAAAAAAGTATTTATAGAAAATAAAGGACAGATTTAGATATAACATATAACTTGCTGCAAATATGATATAACATAAAAATATACACTATAAAACAGTATGTAACATGATACTTGTTTACAAACATACGTATATGAAACAACACATGATATAACGTGAGTTACACAACCATTAGAATGGCATACGTGACTCTTAAACAAGGGAAATTAACAAGATGTCTTTCATACATCATTAAGTTTAAAAACTTATGACGTATGAAATTATATAGGTTTAACGACATCTTATTAATTTCCTTGTTTAGGAGCCACGTTGTTTATTTTATTAACGCCCACCAATGGAGGAATGGATAAAACTGCCGAACACTGGTAGTTAGTCAGTTGCGCCTCATCACCGGATTAACCACGTGGAGTTTTCCGGATTTTCTTCACGTGTCTAACATCTGAATAGGGACCAATTTCCCCATACAAAGTCCACCTCCTTGGCAGATCGCCCAAGTGTTGCGTTGCCTTCCCCCATTAATCCAAGCTGTTCAATCGTATGAAACTTGTAATGATGTGTAAAGAAAAATTCAACATTATGAATCTAAACATATTTAATTAATCATTTTCTACTTAAACTTTATAAATTTGATTAAAATTAAAGTTAAAAATATTTAATTTAATTGAAAATTTTAAATAAAAATGTTAATTTTAATAATAATAATAATTATTATTTTTTTATTTTTGTAGGAAATAAATTTAAATATCTAAATAAGAAAAATTGTAATAAATTTTCTGTCAAATTAAAGGTCAATAAACTTTTGTAATTCTTCTTATAATCTTTCATTCTTTAGTTTTATTACCAGATAAGGTGATAGATTATGCATGCAACATTTAAGCCAATTGTCAAATGCATTATTTCTATGAAAGAACGAAAATTATATCATTAAACGTAAGTTCATTCAGCTTGTGGTTAATACATTTACTAAGAATCTGAAAGTATATTATGTAACAATATCGGAAGTCAATATTAATTTTATTGTATTATTTCTTATTTATTTTTCTGGTTACAAAGAACCGTTTTTATATATTTATAAAAATAAATCTATAAATGGATAAAAATACAAATATGAAATACAATTGATGTACAATACTTCTGATAATTTTATAAAGTTTTGGAGATGTCTAGACTCTCTTGGACATTTAACCTTTATATAATCTTTAAAATAAATAGTGTAAATCATCTAAGAGATCCTTTATGTAATTAATATAAATTGGTAAAATACAGTAATAACAGGTCAAAGATCAAGTTATTGAGATCATTAAGATTATCTTTTTAATGTTTCAGCATATNTAATAATAATTATCATTAACTTTATCATCATCATGAATAATTGTAATTTAATCTATTACATATCATAATTATAATTTTTTTTCTTTGGTTTATATAAGAAAAATGACAAGAAGTTTACTTTTTACTTTTAATTTTTTATCAGGTCCCATTGTGATCTATGGAAGAAAAATGATAAAAGAGTTATCGATTTTCTTCAAAGAATTATCGATTGGAACAAACAAAAACCCATTCATAAATTGTATGAAAGCCTACTGGTTTTAGATGCATTAAATGCCATAAAAAAAGGTGAGTTTTAATGATTTTCTTCTATGGGATACACGATAAAAACACTTGTCGTGTCCAGTTATAATCCGTCCACGTGTGACAACACGATCGATCGGATGGAAAAATAAATTTATTTATTTGTTTTTAAATTAATTTAAATTAAAACAATTTTTTTTATAACGAAGTAAAATTCTATTGAAGTTGAATTTACTAAGAAAAATTTTGTATTATTATCTAGGAAATTTAGTTTATTTTCGTTGAACATGCGCCAAGAAACGTGGCTCATTGATTGCATTTTTCAGATTTGAAAGAGCCGAGTAAAAATAATGAAAACAAAAACTAACCTTTTCTCTGTTTACTCTTATGAGTTTGGCCTTTTTCTTGAAGACAGCTCATATCGTGTATGCTAATAATACTGTTTTTCTTCTTCTTGCAAGAACTTTGTCCTTGAGTTTGGATCGCTTCTTTACCATCCTTCTGACTTTCGTAACTTCCTCTTCTACTTTGAGGTGGTTTAACGCGAACCGAATGACCGTGGTTCTCGAACCCCGGGGTCCTAACGTAAACTGGACCACTGGCAGTGCTGCTACCACTAGGGGAACCCACATCGTCGTAATCCACTAATTTCGAGCCATCTTTACCCCGGGCCGATGAAGAACCAGATGAAAAATCTTCCTCAACTTCGCTATCAACTGATTTTGGCGAAGACGGGACGAATGGTTTCCGTTTGCCACTCATTTATATCAATTTTTTTTTTAATCCCCTTGAACGTCACATGGTTTCAGTTAATGTAAAATATGCTCTTGCCTTATTGAGAAACACTTGTCTATTTTCCGGTAATATAATGTTGATATCTCCACTACAATACTGAGTCATGTGCTACTGTTTTCGATTCCGATTGGTCGACAATGACGACACTGTCCTTAATTGATTTCTAACTAGTTGCTATGGTTACGATACATATATATATATATATATAAAGAGACATTTGCAATCTAATGTTTGACTATGTAGTTAGTCATTTGGCCTTCACGTTGATGGTTTCTCTTAACATTTTCTTACGTTACTCCGTTACGGCAGTTTCTGTAAACGAATTATCCACGATGTAGATTTGATCCCGATACATTTGAGACGTTGATCGATGTTTTAATGATTGATTGAATTGATCGACACATTGCAACAACCTGTACGATGATCTCGGATCAAATATTGAATGGCACTCGATATAGATCCTCGCTATTCTATTGAAATTTTCCTAAAAATGATGCTTTATTTCGTTAGAACTCGATATAAATACACTTCATTAGTTTTATTTTAGTAAAAACTTTAATAAAACTTGAATTGAAATTAATTTATATTTAATAAAGAACTTAAAAATTTACCCGATAAAAGTAATTTTAAAAAAAAGTAATAAATAATAACTGTTTATGTATAATCTGAAAAAATGTATCCATAAATAATTTATTATTATTTAAAATGGATTTAAGTAGTTTGTTTTTCGAAATTTTATTCTGTAAACGTTGTTTAAAATGAAAACTTTCGAATAAAAATAATCGTTATTCGCCTTTTCTACGTTTATACAGAAATTCAATAAAAATATTTATTTATAGCGCCGTATTGTTATACAAGGCTATAACTTAAATTCAATATCAAAGAAAAATATAAATATGTACACTCTCTACTGGACAACCTCCATATTCATTGACTTAATACATTAATAATTTCTTCATGTTAACAAACACAGAGGAAAAATAACACCTCAACGGAATGAATTCTGCATTATATATTACAAAATTATGCGAAATTTACCAAGAAAACACTTTATAAATAACATGTAAACGTGTAAATTTTATTCTGTAGAAACAAAAAAAAATCTACAGGGTGGCCCAAAATTCAGTTTACCGAAGAGGACGTGATTGAATCTAGATTTTGGGAAGTATACAAAGCCGGTTTTAACCTCTTTTAACCGAATTTTTAGCAATAAATCTTGTATTTTGTGTGCATACAAAATGGAAGTAATGATTAAGGATATTCTCTAAATTTTTTTTCTCTCCTGAATAAGTAAAAATAGTAGATTTATAACGTGCATAGATCATTTTATAAACGATTAGTTTTCTCATTAAAAATCATGGAAGAACTTGATCTGAATTAGATGACTTTTTTTACATGATTTTTAATGCGATAACTAATCATATGCAGATAACTAGAGAGATTCGTAAATGAGATAAACGTATATAAAGTTATTATAAATGAGATGAAGAGTAAAAACTTTCTAAAAAAGTATTTATAATTATGATGATGATGATGATATTTCTTGATAAAGTTTATAAAGTAAAATGAACGTTGAGAATAATAATAATAATAATAAAGAAATTGTAAATTAAAATATTTATTTATTTAAATTTGTAACTCCCCAAGTAATCTAATAACAAAGAATAAATAAATAAATAAAATATAAGCAATAAAAGGAGGGATGGAAGTCCGAAAAGTTCGAGGGAAGACGATTTAAATTTAAATTTAATAAAATATTGTATCATCGGATAACTGACTTTTGAACCACTTCGTATATATATTTATTTTACTTTAAAAAAAATTAAAATTAAATTTCTTTATTGTGATTTAACGGCATTCAGAATTTATTTAAAGAAAGAAAAAAACAACGAATTAGACGTATTGCATGTTTGCAGATCTCAAGATTTCTCCAACTTTAGCTTTGTAAACGGGATCCGTTTCTGTTCTATTAGCCAGTTTAATAAACTGAGATAACGATTGTCTGACTTTCATTATCTCAGAATCTATTAATGACTTCATGTGAATTGTCTGCTTTAATTGTTGTGCCAATTGCTGTATATGTTTATTGACTTTGTCGGCTTTCATCTCCTCCATTTTAATATATTTTTCGTATTCTTCTCTTCGATTTTTTACTTCTGATTTCGTGTTGTTCTCTTCTTCCATTTTGACTTGTTTGACGGTTTCGTCTATATCTTTCTGCAATACATTCTGAAGCTTATTTAAAGATTTTTGTTTATCGTTGTAAGAATTGTGATTTATCGCATCTAATCTATCTTCGAACTCTCTAAAAAGTTTTTGTAATTTAAATTTGTAAAAATTAATTTAAACTGATTAAATCGCGTATTTTATATTTACCTTTTCATTTTTCTGATATTCTCTTCGCCTATCTTCCTTTCTTTTTCTTGGGCTTGTTGAATGGCTGTTTTTAAATGATCTCGAAAGTGTTCTTGAGCTTCTTCTAAGGCTTTAGATAAACATTTTTCACCTCGAATTCTTTCACTTTCTAATTTAGGTTGAAATTCTTCTTTTAATTTATCCTCAAGTTTAGCTATTTTTTTCTGTTTAATGATTGATATTAAAAACGAGCAATTATTTATTGTGCCGGGCTACAATTTTTAATCATATTTTTTATTTATTTAATTTAAAATATATGCTCTCCACCTCAAATTAGTATTATAGTGTTTTGTCCGGTACAGTACATCATACTTTCCCGTTAGGAATTGAGTCGTGCCGGTCATCCATAAAACACCGTTACATAAGATACGGAAAGCTTAGGAACAGGAGGACCGATTAATTATATACAAATTTCCGGTATAAACCGGAAATTATGTGATTTTAATTCAAAAATTGCCCCAGAACGGAAACGTACATGACCGGCACGACTCCGTTGTTATCAGGAAAAGTATGATTTACAGGGGCAAGACATTAGTAATTTGAGATCGGGAGCGTATATTTTAAAATTAAATAAATTAAAAATATAATTATAAATTGCATCCCGACATTGTTACGACGTCACAATAATTTTTGCTGGTGAATAAAACTTCTTACATCGGACTCACCTGCTGATTCATTTCGTGTTTATTTTGCAATTCTTGGAGATACTTTTTCAATTCGACAGCAGACTTTTTCAAAGCATCTTGAATCGCTTTCTTCTTAAATTCTTCGGGATCTTGTAATTCATTTGTTATCATCTCTGCTATCAATTTCTGGCATTCTTCCTTTAACACGTTAAAAGTCTCCTCGTGAATTTTCTTTCCTAAATCTATTAAAATAAACGCCACAAAAAGATTTAAAAAAACGAAGCAAAAGATCTGATAATTCGTTTATTTAAATAAATACATTAACATTAAATTTACTTTTAAATCTTTCAGCAAATCCCAGCTTACTGATCTTTTCTAAAATATTTTGTTGTTCGTCAATGTTTTCTTGTTTTAAAATACTAGTTTTAATCTTGAGAGCCTGATTTAGATCATTTAAAACAATTATATAAATTTTAATTTACATTAAATTAATTAAGAACTATTAACTTATTTGAAATTCTTACCAGAAATTTTGAAGAATCATTCGTCGAATTATTTATAATTTCATTACCTAATAAAGAAAATATATGTATAAAATAAAAATTTTAAGCTTATAAATAAAAAAATAAATAAATAATTCAAAATAATTAAATTAACCTATATCTTCTGCCATATTTTAAATGTTATTGAGTTGTTTTTGGAGGAAAATCTGAACCTTAAAAGTCCTAAATGTACTTAATTGGCTCCAATTGTACAGACTTTTAAGATGTGAAGTAACAATTAAGAATTTTTTAATAATATTTTCTAAATTAATTATTATGTAATTTTATATTTATTACTATTATTTAAATTCTATAAATACTATAAAATAATTTTTAAGGCATAAGAACCTATCCTAAATTGCTGAAAAAATAAGGATTAAATAATCAATCTCCTGTTAGGACCTTCGACATCTTTATGATTGATACTCCTCAATTACTGTTAATATTATTATTTTATTCTTCTCAGATCTATATTTTCATACAATTGAATATCTTTACATTAGTATGACTATAATCGAATTTCATACTGTACCATTCAATGAGTTTAAATATCTTCATACTGTTTCATCGAAAAATTATATACAGTATGAAATCATGTCATGAAGATACTTATTTTCAACATTGTTCTTGAACATATATTACGATACAACACGAAAGTTTGTAATTTACAAGTTTTAGAAGCATTTCAATAATTTATATACACCATCATGTAACATACAAAAAAAGTATTTATAGAAAATAAAGGACAGATTTAGATATAACATATAACTTGCTGCAAATATGATATAACATAAAAATATACACTATAAAACAGTATGTAACATGATACTTGTTTACAAACATACGTATATGAAACAACACATGATATAACGTGAGTTACACAACCATTAGAATGGCATACGTGACTCTTAAACAAGGGAAATTAACAAGATGTCTTTCATACATCATTAAGTTTAAAAACTTATGACGTATGAAATTATATAGGTTTAACGACATCTTATTAATTTCCTTGTTTAGGAGCCACGTTGTTTATTTTATTAACGCCCACCAATGGAGGAATGGATAAAACTGCCGAACACTGGTAGTTAGTCAGTTGCGCCTCATCACCGGATTAACCACGTGGAGTTTTCCGGATTTTCTTCACGTGTCTAACATCTGAATAGGGACCAATTTCCCCATACAAAGTCCACCTCCTTGGCAGATCGCCCAAGTGTTGCGTTGCCTTCCCCTATTAATCCAAGCTGTTCAATCGTATGAAACTTGTAATGATGTGTAAAGAAAAATTCAACATTATGAATCTGAACATATTTAATTAATCATTTTCTACTTAAACTTTATAAATTTGATTAAAATTAAAGTTAAAAATATTTAATTTAATTGAAAATTTTAAATAAAAATGTTAATTTTAATAATAATAATAATTATTATTTTTTTATTTTTGTAGGAAATAAATTTAAATATCTAAATAAGAAAAATTGTAATAAATTTTCTGTCAAATTAAAGGTCAATAAACTTTTGTAATTCTTCTTATAATCTTTCATTCTTTAGTTTTATTACCAGATAAAGTGATAGATTATGCATGCAACATTTAAGCCAATTGTCAAATGCATTATTTCTATGAAAGAACGAAAATTATATCATTAAACGTAAGTTCATTCAGCTTGTGGTTAATACATTTACTAAGAATCTGAAAGTATATTATGTAACAATATCGGAAGTCAATATTAATTTTATTGTATTATTTCTTATTTATTTTTCTGGTTACAAAGAACCGTTTTTATATATTTATAAAAATAAATCTATAAATGGATAAAAATACAAATATGAAATACAATTGATGTACAATACTTCTGATAATTTTATAAAGTTTTGGAGATGTCTAGACTCTCTTGGACATTTAATCTTTATATAATCTTTAAAATAAATACTGTAGTGTAAATCATCTAAGAGATCCTTTATGTAATTAATATAAATTGGTAAAATACAGTAATAACAGGTCAAAGATCAAGTTATTGAGATCATTAAGATTATCTTTTTAATGTTTCAGCATATGAATTCATTAGCTGAGAATAAGAATTTATAATGAATTATACAAATTATATTCAAAATTTCCATTTTTAATTAACTTATATTAATATTATTATTACCCAATTTTAATTATAATTACAGTATATATTCAAATAATTTAAATAAATATAATTTAAGAATTTTAATTATTATAAAACATTAACATAAATAAGAAATTTTTTTTATAATTACAAAGAAATTCATCCAAATTTTTAATAGTTAAATAATTTCAGATTTTACCTTTTTTCTTTTTTTTTACTATTTTAAATGACTTATTTCAAAGATTTTCACTAGAATAATTTTATTTAATATAATAATTCTTCCTAATATCTAATGAAAGTAATGCTTCATACTACACTATGAAAAGAATCACATCTTTGAAGTTACTTCTAGTCTGAGTAGCTTAATCAAAGCTTCCTTCCTTTGGAAAAAAACACTTCTCTAGCAGGAATTAGCTGAGAACAAGTAGCTACTTATCTGATACATTGCTCTCCATTTCTTTAAGGCTTTAGTAAAACATAAAGATTGATAATTCACTAATCCTCTACTTATTTAACCATTACAAAACTTTTTCAATATTTAACTATAGAGAATTTCATTGTAAGAAAAAAAATTACAATATATATACATGTATTAATTGATTGTATTTATTGTATTGTTTTTGATTGATTGATGTATCAAGTATTGATTACTTAGCTTCTATGTATAAGTGATCAGGATTTAAAAGTTTTATACCTTTATGTAATAAATAAAATTAGTTTTAAGTAGTACAAATACCTGTCATTCTTATATCTTAAACTTTAACAGTAATAAATTAGATGTGATAAACAGAATGCAGTAAGTATAAAGTTTCATTAGTAGCAATGTTAATCCTTATTGTTCAAGAAAATTCCGTCTGATTAATGAATAATGATAATCAAGAAAATCTAGATTTAACGATTTAGTGTGAAGAAAACAATGGAAAGCTTAAATTTAAAATAAGTATGAGTTGGTTTGGCATTTATATTTGGCATTTATATTTAAGCTTCTTAACCTCTTTGAAGCTTAATAACTCTCGTGCTTTTTGTCGAAAATTTCTGAAATTTTGAAGAGAGGTTTGTGTATTAAGGGGAACCATGCTATTAAGTTTTGGTAGTTAAAGGTCGACAGGGTGGTGAGATAAACGGAGTGTCGTGTGTCGTATCTCGTGTAAGGTCGGACTTAATGAAGATTTTAATTTGTTATTAGCATTTACAACTTTTTATGAAGCCCATTCCTACCCTCAAAATTAAGCTTTTTGCCATTTTATAATAATGTTTATAAAAAGTTTTTAATAATAAAATATCATAACAGATGGCACCACACACGCAGTTTTAAATGTTGCCGGAAAAGTTAAGCAACTCGTTGTTCGATATATATATATTTCAATAATAATCAATAACTTTTATGTCGCTTTATGAAATTCAGTAAAATAATACAAGTATTCAATCATATCTACAGAATTGTTTCATATCATATAAAAGAAATAAAACTATAGAATAATTACAATATCAGTTTTTATATAATATCGATTATAACTCGAGCACTGTTTGATAAAAAAAATGATAACAATTCTTTATATAAAAGTACTAAATTCTTTGTAGAATTTCGTACTTTTATATGACATATTAAATATACTCATATATAACATGACAAGAAATACTAAATTCTTGTCATGTTATATATGAGAAATCATTATTACACAAAATAGATTTTTTTTCATATTTTTTAAAGAAAATTTCATTTAATATTTCAATTTTCTTAAACTTTTCGAGGCATAATATAATATTATATCACTTTTATACCATAGTATTTTTGACATAAATACTTTTGTTTTTATACGGAGCAGTTATTTATTGTGACATCGTCGCAATGCTCTCAGTTTTAGTAGTGTCTTGTCCCTGTAAGTCATACTTTTCCTGTTAACAATAATCATCCCTGTCATTTATATAACTCCGCCCAGGAGAACGTTTTTGAATTGAAATGACGTAACTTCCGGTGCGAACTTCCAGTTTATATATAGTTAATCGGGGCCTCCTGCCCCTAAGCTTTCCATATACGATCTCGAATTTCATCTATCTAACTCCGTTCTGTAAGCAAGGACAGACAGTGGTGTATCCAGGTTTATGGCAGCATATATTTTCCTCAGGTTCTAGAGAATAATTATGAAAATTTTGGTGCATATCGGTCAAAGAGTTTAGAAGTGTATGGAGAACAGATACCAGATCGACAGACATTCTATTTTATATACAGAGTGTTTTTGTATGGTCTCACCAAACTTTTGAATTCTGAGTCATAAAAATGAAAAAAATTTCATATAAACATAGATCTGAAAATGCTACCATTCGAAATTATAGCAGTTTTTACGTAATACAAATTAATATCAAGCTATGGTTTCCCTCGTGCATGTTTTCAAGTAACACTTTAAGTGTTCTTTAGTACCATGAACCATTACTCTAACTCAGAAATGACTAATATTCATTTTATTTATGCCCGATCTTGCAGCAATACACGTAAAGCAACGACTGTGTAAAGAACTTTTCAAACTGCCTTAATCTGGAAAAGAAGTATTTAATTATTAGTACAGTAAATGTGTAATTCAGGGTGATCCAAAAGTCGGTTAACCGACTTTTATACCACCCTGTACATTCCTCTATTAAACATTATAATTAGTTTAATAGAACAAAGATTTATCTGAACTGAATCTTTTTTTAGCATTTCTAAAATATTGGAACTTGTAAATTATAAGGAAAACTTTTCTACTTATTACAGGAGTTATTGGATTTGGCTGAAGTTGCTTTATTCAATCTACTAAACACTTTGGTAGTTTACAGCTTTTATATATAATTATTATTTCTTATATAAATTGGATTTATTCTTTTTATCTAAATGCCAAATTTCATTTTGCTCGGTGACTTTTCTGTAGAAAACTTATCGAATCTCAAGAGAAGAGAAAACCAATGGACGTTTCGATTTTCTAGTACATAATACCACTAGTCAATCGGATCGTTGTTGAAGTCGATAAAATCTTAATTCTGTAAAGATACATTCAGACAGATATCGGATCCAGAACGGATTCACGGTCGGACAAATCGAATCATATCAAAGTTACTTTGATAGCATTAGCTATAAGCGCTAAATAAATTCTACTATTGATGTAGAATTAGAACAT